TTAATTGAAACATTACTGCTTATGCCATTACATTACCGTAGTACTTGTTACTACCCAGCGACTTAGTAGACTAGAACCAATCTTGAATGCCACTGAACGATACTGTTTTGTTTTTTAGAGCTACTTTTGCACGAAAGAGTATTAAATAGTACCTAAATTCTGGTTAACCATCCAGTGACTGCCGATCGTGAAAGTTTGCTTGCTTTATATCGACAATGGCAGATTGAACGCGTTAATACGGATATGTTTATGTGTGGAGGAGCTCAAAGGCTGAATATGCCTTGGCGCTCCTCCAGACACAAACATATCGGAAGTCAACTGATCAACCAAGTTATAAGTATCGTATCGCCCACATTATTAGTGACAAAAATATTATGAGCTATACCAAATACCTCGCAGTAGAATAGGTTATATCATTTACGTGTACAATGAAGCCGTTTTTATTACGAGACTCGCACATTTTATGAGCACTTTGGTTTGGCAACACCTGTGACGAGCAAGAGGTCCCCTTCAATATCCCTCTCGTATCTATCAAAGGAACAAATATCCAACAGCCGTTCCGCCCTTTACTGGAGGATGGTTGACCCTTGCAAAGTATGTCGTCTAATTCCGGTACAACCGTAACGTAACGATGGCATTTTCCGAATTCCGTCTTATTGAAATCCTCGATTAGGTATTCTGAGGCCCTAGCACGAATTTTGACGGCTCCGTAATTGTATTGTAATCGTCATATTGGTAAACGCGTTAGTCGCTATGTCTCCGAAATTATTGACTTTACGGAAAAAAATGTAGAATGCAAATTGTTGATTATTAAATTCCCATTTTTTGTCTGACTCTTTTTATTATATCTCTTACCGTTTTATTGATGTTTATTTGAACATGTCAAGAAGTTTCCTCTTTATAAAACCTTATAAAATGCCATTAATTGATAACAAATTTCGTATGAAAGTTATTTGTCATTAAATTCTCTACAACTTTTGTATAAAACTTTTTTTTATTAAATAAATATTTTAAAAGTTATGAGTCGTTAACGTGGCGTAAAAAGGGCATTGAATTGAATTTACATAAGTATCCGCAAAATTCACTTATTTGCATTCAAATTGAAGCTGCCTCATGATGATTTTGTTGGATTGTTATTAATTAATTGCAAAAAAAGTAATTTAATGATAGAATTAATTTTCTATAGGGTACTATAATATGTTTATATTATCTATATTATCATAAAATTTTCTTTTAAAACGTTTACTATCAACTTATAACGTCATTACACAATTTATATAATATAAAATATTTTCGCCTTTAAGTAGGTACATACTGGAATTTATTTAGTTTGAAAAACAGATCAAATTTTGCTACACAGGTAGATCTCGCGATTACCTTTTATCTATACATATAAATATAATAAAATGGTAGGAAAGTCAAAACTGTACTTTGAATATTTTTTTAAAAGAATACTTGGGGTGTGATCTACAATCGATACCAAAGCCAAAAATATAGTTTTTGAATTTTTGTCTGTTTGTCTGTATGTATGTCCGGGATAAACTCAAAAGTACTACTGCATGGATTTACTTCAAATTTGGCACGAATATTATTAAGAAGTCGGGTCAACATATAGGCTACATAATATCACGCTATCACCTACGGGGAACGAGCAGTGAACCTTTATTTCTTCAACGCATTCTGTAACAACGTGTAATCTAACGACGCATATTTGAATGTTGTTATTATGTTAACCATGCTATAAGCTAGCTTCACACTATAAGTAACTTAGGCCGATAAACTTTAGACAATTTTAAAGCAGCGCCATCTATGAGATTTCAAAAACATCAAACTCCACGCGTACGAAGTCGCAGGCGGCCGCTAGTATTATTTATATTAGGAAGGTTAGGTATATGGCAATAGTTAAAGTTAAAATTTATGTTAATATAGATAATATTAACATTTTATAGTACCCTATAGAAAAATGATTCTTTTAAAAGCTTGTTTTATTAGAATCTATTTTCTATCCGATTATGTCGATTAGTTTTTACTTTTTAGTTACAGGACATAATCAAGGACTTCAAAAACCCCATATTCTCAACAAGACCTTTCATTTGATAACCATAAAGTAGGAAATCCTCAAAAAAATAGCCCATTAAAATATTGGATTTTAGGTGATTTCACTATATTTTTCGAGTTATTCTCAGCAAGCCCTTTCATTTGATAACCATATTGTATTAATAGATCCATAAAAATAACTACTCCGCCATCTTGTATGTTCCGCCATATTGGATTTAAAATGACGTCACACATCTAACCATGCATTGTTATCCAAACTAAACGTGTGTACAAAATTTGAACTTAATAGAATGAAGATATCTGCTTAAAAATTGAGTTGCAAGATTAAAAGTGAAATAAAAGCTTTTAATTTTAATAATATAGAAACACACTAACATACAATCTTTCACATTTATAATATGGGTAGGATATAAAGATTTCAGATTTCAGCCACTCGCAATAAAAAGTTCTCTCATTTTACCTGACCATAGACTTACCATACCAATGGTCAAGTTCAGCAGTTGGTACCTTTATGTGCAGTCGATTGAGTAACAAATACCTCGATAATATCAAATTAGCATGTAGCAAAGAGAAGCTTTATTTAAGCAAAACAAGAAAACTGCTCAATTTCACAGGTCTTAGTTTATTTTATTTGATTAGTAATTTAGGTAGAGCACACACTTTCGCATTTTAATAGTTAAAAGTATTCTTTAATAGGTAATTTTTGTAGATAATAGACCCCGGACAATCATGTTTTAACAAGTTTTTGTTTAATAACCCAATTTGTGCATTCCATTGTCTGACTGGTTTTAAGCATCGTTGCTGTCTTACGTGAGATTTGTTAAAGATGAGAAAATATATGAAGAACTGTTGTTTGCTAAAATTTAGAGACCGAGACAAAAGAAAAGAACAAAACAAATTAGAAAAGTTTTGTTATGAAAAAGCGATTCCCTTGAATGTCAATAAGGCAATATCACCTCAGCTGGAAGAAGAACTTATATAATTGCGTTTTAATAATCCTCATTGGCAGGTGTAGCCCGTAAGAGTTAACTTGAGACCGGGGCCGTATTATGAACGCTTAACGCCAGTGCCTATTTTGCGTGGGGATGGGCATCAGTCCTGCCATTCCAGCTCCTCCAGAAAGCTCAGCAGTCCGCGAATGTTGCTGCAGGCCTCTACTATTGTCTTCGGGCTTTCCATCAGAGAAGTCCTTTGTCTTGCAACGCCCCTGCACACCAGTAGAACATGGGCGCTCGTCTCCTCGTCCTCCAGGCAGGCTCAGCACAGAGGGCTGTCAGAAATACATATATTACAAAGGTGTTTGTTGAAGTAGCCGTGACCCGTGAGTATATCCACGATTTGTTTTAGGGCTTGTCAAGGTAGTCTGATTAACTTACGTGTAAGCTGTAGGTTTACCTTGGGATTGGCTTCCCTAGCTTGCCTGCTGTCCGTGAGTTTTGCCCAGTATTCGTCGTGTTGTCTTTGACAGCGCTCCCTTATCCAGGTTCGCAGCTGTCGATAGGGTATGGGTACAATTGGCTCCGGACCAATGGCCGTCCTGCTGGAACCTTCCCTGGCTAAGCAGTCCGCCGCATCGTTGCCCCTTGAGCCGCTGTGTCCTTTAATCCACTGTAAAGTCAATTTATTGTCTAATCTCCGCTAATATAGCTCACAATAATGAAATTAAATTAATGTTATAGAGGTTTTAATGTAGGCGAAAAAATGGGGGCGTTACAAAATAATTTATTTTCAAAGTGGGCAGTAGACAAAATAACTTTGGGAACGCCTGTTCTACATTGTTTGTTCGTCACCAGGTAGTCACACAGGTAGCAGGTGATTTTTTATTTAATTAAATCTAAACTTTCACAATTTGTGTAAATCGGACATCTATCACAGTACACGTTCGTGTACACGTTATGCTCCACAAACAGCGAAATACCGAATCGTTCCAATTTGGTAATAACATTAATGCCGGTACTACAATCACGACATTATGAGGCGAAAATCAAACCGCAGACACAAACAGTTGCCAGTCGGAATCGCCGGTTAGCAAGCGACCCGGAAAATAGTGTCCGGAAGAACGCCATTCGGCAATTAGGTTGTCAACTTTGGCCAGTGTTGCGAGCGCCCCTGTTAGTATGCAGATTGTGTGCATTGACGTTTCTAGCGATGGTGGTGAACGCAAGTGAGCCGTTCTATTTCTGATTTCAATCGCGTAGCATAAAACCTTTAATTTTCCCCCACTAAATCAATTATTGGGAAGTTGCATGTTTGAAGGGGAAATGTGGAAACGTTATTATTATCAGAATTGCCAATATTTTTAAATTGTTTGAATTAAATAAACACGAATAAGTGATTTTTAAAAATCATTCCTCTTAGAATATTAGACTTTTTTAAACAGAGTAAAGTAAATATCTCACCCCATCATATGATAATAAACAAATAAATTCTGGACAACTCGCATCGCAACAGTTGATTAGTTTCTTTTTAAGCAGAGGAAATAGGTATTATGTAAACAAATAAATCATTTAATTAACGGTTTAACAATCACAACAAAGGGTTTAAAAATCATGACAAAGGGTTTGTCAATTATACAACAGTCAGAAAAACAAAAGAATGTCGAGAAAGCAAGGACCTTGCTTACCTTGACCTAATTCCCTATCCGTGGAGAACATCACCGATAGTTGAAATATGTATTTAAGTAGAATACTTCCAATTTTGTTTAAAAACTATTTTAATTACAACTGTAAAATGGTTATGGTTATTACAGAATAACAATATGCAAACAGAAGCGCAAATCTGAGCTTAGAGTAGGTACGCATCTGCACTAGAAATGGAAACTTGTGAAAAATAATTAAATCTTTACAAAACGTATCGAAATCCTTTGTCTAAGAGTACATAGACACCACAGTAATCTCTTCGTTGACATTTTGACACATTAAATCAAAATGTACCTATTCATAAAAATCATGGTGTAATTAATTTTGTAATAAAATTAGAATAGAAATTTCCGCTGCATTTTAATATACTTAAAATGGTTATATAAACAAATCCAAATCTATGCGAATATTAGAAAGCAAAAAACGGATACTTACATAGCTTAAAAGAAAACATTATATACGAGTTCAGCATGGCTCCAAAGAAAGGGAAAAAAGGTAAAGAGCCCCCTCCACCACCTTCCAAAGCCATGGGTCCTCCCCCTAAACCAAAAAAGATCCCTCCTCCACCATCCTGTTTCACCAACGAAGACCTACTCAAGTTCAAAGATATGTTCAAAGCTCATGATGAAGAAAATATAGATAAGGTAAAGCTCTAGTGTAAGAAGTGAATGAATCTTTTATTTTTTGTTTTCTTTTCCATTTCCAAAACTTTGGGTACATGTAATATTTATTTCTATCAAACTATAGCATCTGAATTTGTGTATTTAATGTAAGTTGACACACTTTTATCTGTGGTGAATCTCGAGTCGTTTATTAATAATGAAGTATTTCCTACAGGTACCGATACAATTGATACCTTTGATGTTGAGGAAGTTAGGATTCAATCCTAAAACGGCAGAGATAGAACAACTGTTTAAAATGTTCCTCGAAGATGATTTGGTAGACACCGTAGAATTGCATGAATGGTATTTTATGATAGAGGCTAAGATGAACTGGGGTGATGACTTTGAGTTAGCTGTAACCAAAGCGTTTGCAGCTCTGGCCCACGATGACGACGAGACAGGCATAGCGCAATTAGAAGTACTAAAAGAGGAACTAATGAACTGGGGTGAACCCTTGTCTGAAATAGAGTTTGTAGATTGGGTACGCTTAGCAATCAAAGATAAGACATATAACATTGAAGACGGAACGTTCTTATACCCTAAGTTCATTGAGAATATGAACAATAAAGATGAAAAATACATTAAGGAGCCTATCAACTTCTTTAAATTGGACCAGAAGACTTTAGCAGAGATGGCGATTAAGAAAGCACAAGAAGAAAAAGAGGAACAGGAGAGAAAAGAATTAGAGCGTCGTGCTAAAGAGGAGGCTAAAAGACAGAAAATGATAGCTGATGGTTTAATACCTCCCGATTAAATATAATGAATTACATGTTTTTCAGGAAAATAAAAGGTACAAGAATCAAGGAAAACTTCATTTTGTTTGGTAGGTAATATGGCACGGTTTTAAATATTAGATATTGATAACTGTCGTTATAATGGGTGCGATTTTCGTAGAGTATAACGGTTAAGATCTAGACTATTCAAATCACAAGTAAAAGATTTATTATTATAAGTAAAGTACATGATATTGGGATTAAAAGGACCAAGTATATAAGAAACAGGAAAATACAGCTTAAAGAGAGATTAATGCTTAATAAATTGTTGGAATGCATGTTAATTTCTAAGTAAGTACAAGCACTGAATATGCGACAGATAAGAGTAGCGTTTGCATAATTTACGCCATAATCTCTCATGCGTCTAAAAGGAATGGCACAGACTTGATGGCATCAGTGTTTTGCATGAAATTTTAATGATAATGATCAAATTATGTCAAATGTATGCAATTAGGTGAGACTTGTCTGTAGGTAGATACATCTGAGCGCGTACTGTACCTACAAGCAAATAACTCTCTGTAAATCAAACAAAATTCAAATATCTTGCCATTATGTCATCAACAATTTTATTAAACTATGGGGATAGTCCCTCTATAGTTATTGACAGGCGTAATACTACTTACATATTGTATGGCACATTTTTAGAAAACACTAAGATGTAGAAGACTCATTAATGCACCTGTAATGCAGGCTGTAAGTTGAGTTCTACACTTGTACTAATATGTAATTCTGTGGTTTTACTTTGGTCTGCACCTATTTTTTTATTGACTTCAATAACCTGCTTCTCACTTAAACGGTAACGATTAATTTTATGTAACGTTTATTTTTTATTTTCTAATTTAGTACACACGCAATAAAATAAATAAGAAGAACAAAAACAATATTTTTTCTTTTTACTTTTTTTAATGATCGTATTTAAATGTTTTTTACCTATGTTAATATTATGACCACATCTTTATTGATACCAGATTGCTTAGGTAGTTACAAACTGTAATGACATAGCATATACGTCGTACATTCTTTACTATTTCTTCAAAGTTGTGAAGTATCTTTCACCAGTTCTTCTCCACAACCAAAAGAAAGACGTCCTGATATTGGAGTACCTATAAAAAAGAACTTCTTTATATTCCATTTTTTTATATAAATTCATTAATGCAACCGGTTATTTTATCCATCTAGAGTGTAAGTACATATCTGTGACCCTGGAAAAGGTGGTACGTCTCTCTGAACCACCGGGAAACAGGATATCTTCCAGTCCCAGGTCAGAGGCTCGGTGAAATGAGCAGGGCCCTACCTAGTAAAAACCGCATAATACTTCTGCACCGGTCACCAGACACGCACTACGTGACGACCTCCGTGACCGAGTGATTGGTACGCCGGGTTTCATGGTGTCGCCTACTCGAGAGATCCCGGATTCGAATCCCGGTGGGGGCAGATGTTTGTGTGATGAATACGAGCATTTGTACTTATTTGATGTTTAATATGTATTTCTATATTAATATACTTATATATGTATTCTATCCGTTACCCTAGTATCCTATAACACAAGCCTATCGCACAGGTGCTTCCTTTGGGGCTAGGCTAATTGGCCTAGTAGCAATTGTGATGATATCATTAGGAATGGAATCTATCTAGAAACTTTTCGTACGTAAAAGTTCCTAGATAGATTCAATCGGATCTCAGTCCTCAGAGATGGCAACTTCGCCCCTTGGCAAGGAGGTCGTCCTTAATTCTTAGAATTATAGTCGAGGAATTTCTCAAGAAGAAAATTCAGTTGTCATTGCTGGAATAATAGGCGCTTTTGCATGCAAATCACTTGTTGCCGTTACGCCGACTTGCTTTCATAACAAGTCTAGTCTGTATACAACTGGACACCCTATTCTCGTGAATGGCTATTTATAAAATGGTATCACAATGAAAAGAGTTTCCTGTATAGAAAAGGCTATTTATTTTTCTTTCCATTATTACGAACTAGTAGCTGTCCGCGAATACGTCCGCGTCAACTTTAGTTTTTTGAAAGTCCCTCAGAAACCTTTACCTGTCATTTTTTTGGATGAAAATTGTCCTATCTCTCAATCCAGGTTATTAACTATTTCATCCAAAACCGTTCAGCACAACATACAATAAACCTACAAATAATTATCTTTTATTTATTTATTTTAAACTTTATTGACCAAAATACAATAGAATGGTACAAAAGGCGGACTTAATGCTAATAGCATTCTCTCCCAGTCATATATAGTCTTATCTTTTCGGTAAGGCATAAAAGTTATTATTTTATATATCGTTGAATTTTAACTATAATTTAAAATGTGAATTCTGCATTACCTAAAATGGCATCTACTTAAATCATTAATGCCTTATTGCAAAATGTGAACTAAAGTTAGATCTCCCAAAATGACTTAAGTTACGGTAGAACTCGGAAGTACTCACGTTACTGAACTTTAAAGTTAAAATAACATAGGTACGTCGCCTTCCATTCTTGTCACTAAGGCAATGATTTTATTATAAGAAATCACTGCTTTAGCCTCAAATTACAGAACAAAGGCAGATGAAACGCACGGAATACAATGTCAAAAGTAAAGTTCTTTTTTGGCTTTGTGAACAGTTTTTACAATGTCTATCAATTTTGATAAAAAAATATATTCACGAGACGTATTCACAACACGATGCGTTTGCGTTGTAGTGTACTGACGCGAGTTAATATTCGCTTTTGACTTGATTTTTGCTTTGGTGGCACGCAGTATGTGTACCATACGCTCCATCTGTCTTAAGTTCTGTAATCTGAAGTTTTAGCAACAAGAATAAGGCAATGCATGAATGTCATAATGCATATTATTTTAAGTTACATTGAGTTACGTTATTGTTATAATTTTAATTTCCAGTCTACTTTGTATATAACATACAAGTTTTTATGGTGGTGGAAAAATGTAGGTAAATCTCAAGTTTATCTACATTTTTCTTTCTAGGACAAAGTGCTTGGAGGTAACTAAAAGCTTCGTTATGCAAATTTTTACTCTGCTATTTTCCATGCGTGTAATGGCTCAGCCACGTGACGCGCTGACAAAATTATGATAACGCACAAAGCAAGAAATTTGTATGAGAAGGGAGATAATTTCAGACGAAGATAATTTTAAATAGCTCTTTGTGAAGACTAGTAGTTTAGAATTACAGCCAAGGACATGACTGTGGTGTAGATATGATGAAAGTACTATAAATCTCTCTCTTATCTTAGTGTCGCCGCACACGGGCCACCGACCACAACCACAAAACGCCGCCACCGGCATATTTCTTGTAGTTTTCATACATTTTATATGGACTCGCCACACATGGCACGCCGGTGGCCGCCACACACTACGGCCACATAATGCGCTGATACAAAACGCCGCCACACGTCACTCGCGCAATTCCCCACCCCTCTCTCCCTTACCTTAGTCGGCCGCAGTCGCGTGCTTTAGCCACTTTAGTAGCCGCTTCTAGCTTCTCGTGGCGGCGTTTGTGGCTGTGGCGTGTGGCCCGTGTGCGGCGACACTTACATAATAAAGGCGCTTTGAGGAGCTCGCTGGTCCAATGCAATGTCCAATATCTTGACGTGTTTGGTCAGCAGTCAAGAAAGTTCAACAACTTTCGCAATGGTCAGTCAATCAATCAAGTGGTTGACCGACAATTTTTTATTTTTTTTATGCTTCGTGTTCCCTCCTTCTTACAACCTGGGATCCTTTAAAAGAGGCGTGAAGAAGCAACTTGCAGACCGGCAAGGCGAACCCTTGCTACCTTCACGTCTGGACTTCTCCATCACTTAACATCAGCTGGGGTGGTCATTTGTTGGATATAAAAAAATAATGCTATGGAAAACACGTTTGGCCGTTGGTTCCGGCTTCATCCACCGTCATTAGCATCCACCAATCTGCACTGGGCCCGCGTGGTGGGTTATCAGGGAACTGAGAAGGCATTTGCCCCGTCAGTGGGGACATTAATAGGCTGATGGTTATGTAAATGTCGTAGGATGATTTTGATAAATGGAATATTCGAGAAAATCCTTGAGATTTTGCATAAACGCGGATAATAAGACAATGGCGATGACATTTCTCAATTTTACTGAAAAAGGGTAAGATTTATGCGAAAACGCATGTCGCCTAAGTAAATTTGCGAAAACAATCGTTGGCTTATTAATATGCTTGAGTTATTGTGTTCACACTAAGGCCCGTATTATAGAAAGACTAGCAAACCAGTGAACCAAATGTTCTCCAAAAAAAAAACCGGAAGTGCTACGTTACTCACATCCGGTTGTAGTCTTATCAGACTATTCTTAACTTATAACTTAAACATTCTCTATATCTATCTCTTACGGTTTGGCCGCTGAAACAGCACCACGGACGGACGGACGGACGGACTTGTCTAATAGATAAGAGATTCTCAGTGAGTGATCTAGTCTTGAGTATAGTTAGAAAGGGATATCGCTATATATAGCATCAGGGCCGTGCCTGACGGGCGTTCATTGCGTGCACCGCACGCAGGCGGCCGAAATTAAGAGGCGGCCAAATAAAAGAAAAAAGTTGCTTCGACTTTCATAATAAATTCAAGGATGGCGAATCGTGCGACATAAACGGAGCAGAATTATATGAAGAGTTAATTTCATTGAAAATAATTATAAAAGATAGGAAACAACCCGAAGAACTCCTAAAGTATTTGTACAAACACAATTTACAAAATTCATTTCCAAATGTATCTACAAGCTTAAAACTATTATTGACCATGCCTGTATCAGTTGCGTCTGGAGAACGTAGTTTTTCTAAATTGAAAATCATAAAAAATTACCTACGTACTTCCATCACGCAAGAACGTATGAGCAATCTTTCAATTATCGCGATTGAAAGTGAAATTGCTGAATCTTTAAATATTCACGAACCAATTGACGATTTTGTCAGTAAAAAATCCCGTAGGATTAACTTTTAATATGTACTTTATTTAATAATTGCTTCGTGAAGATTCAGCAATTTCACTTTCAATCGCGATAATTGAAAGATTGAAAGATTTCCCTAATTAACCGGTAACCTAACCGAAATAATTTTATGAAACCGGTTAATTAACCAAAAACCTTTACTATTTTCAATATCAATAAATAATACGTAAGATTTGATTTTTTAAAATCAAATAATTTTAAATTGTCACTGAGCGACACCTAGGATTTTAAATTATCGTATTCCTATGTTCTTTATGTTTGATAATTTTGTCTGTGATTATAATACCAATACCATAATTACTTTTTTTCATGTTATTATTAAAGTAAGTAAATTAATTCTATTTTGTATACCTCCCAAGTTGCAAGTCAGCCCAGATCTGCCATTGGCCACTGAGCTTTGTTATCCTAATATGTTAGTATAGATTTAAGGGTTATTCCTTGTTCTTTATGTTTGATAATTTTGTCTGTGATTATAAAACCAATACCATAATTTTTTTCATGTTATTATTTTTGTTTAAATTTTAAATAAAAAAATGTTTATTTTGTGCATTTTTTTTTCTTAAATTTCATCCAAACATATAAATCTCATAAAACCGGTTTTTAGCCGGTTTTTCTTTTCAGAAACCGGTTTTGGGAACAAAACCAATATTTTTTTTTCGTTCTCGATTTCGGTTAACCAAAAACTGATTTTTTTCCCGGTTTGATGCCCTGTGTATAATAATAAACATTAAAAATTAAAGTAGTTTTTTTTTAATGTTATCCTGGGGGCGGCCATACAGACTGGCACGCAGGCGGCCATATACCCAGGCACGGCCCTGTATAGCATATAGCGACATCCCTTTCTAACTGTACTCAAGTAAAGATCAACACTTAGTTGTCAGTCTGTAATACGGGCCTAAGTTAGTTTAGTAT